GGGGGGCGGGGGCTCCTCCTCCTGACCGAGCCGGCTCCGACGGCTGTGGCGGCGGCGGGAAGATGAGTTTTCCACGACTTGTTCGGTTAGGACTCTATTTCGGTGGGCGTGGCTGCGTGGCAGCTCTGGCTTTGTCCTTCCACTGCCGGCGAAAAACAATTGGTATTACTAGGAACACGAAGACTGGTGACAGTGCCTTTACTAAGCTTTACCATCCAAGCTTTTTCGATGAGGTTGCTCCAGTTCAGTTAAGCGTAGAAAAGCCCCATTGGTTCGTTGTTTTCTCTCCTACCGTCGTGACACCGACCGAGCGTCCGTTCGCTGACGCTTGTCCCCTTGGCGAGCGTGTGGCCTCTTGCGTCAGCAATAATATTGAATGAGTGCTGAGCAAGAACAAAGTCGCTTAGCGTGAACCAGAGACCTCTACTCTACGCCATTTTCCTGCCTTCAGCAGTGGCCCGGGCTAGCCTTATGCATTTCTCTACCTTAATCTGAATACACGACACCTCATTTTCTTGGTCCACAAGTCAACTAGGTCTTTGGTATTCCATTAATTTGATGCGAGCTGAGCCGCCTGGTCACCCTAGTCTACCGGAGTCGGGACGCTTGCGAGGGGCTGGAGGTGGAGGCTGGAGCAGCAGGATGCGGGGAGAAGCACAAAACAATAAGTGTGACTGGACCGCCATGCCGCCATGTGCCATCTCGGTCTGGTCCTTGCCAGGAAGCGGTCAGCGGGGGGCGGGGGTGGGTGCACCCCTGCGCTGGGGCCCGGGGGGCGTGGTGGCTGCGGGCCGGCGGCATGTACTGCAGCCGTCGCAGCACCGCAAAACCGCGCGGTTTCCGGGTCGTCTCTTCGACGCCGTTTCCGAGATTCTTCTGTTTTTCGTGGAATTAGTTTTACGTACAAATCTTTACGCAGCGAAGCTGGAGCAACTGGGTCAAGTATTCCGGCGGCACGTCCAGCCAAGAGGTCCAGTTGGGTCCAGTATGGTCCAGTACTCGCTCCATGCAGTCGTACCTGGAGCGAGTGCGGGGGCGGGTAGTAAAGGTCCCCCCCTCCACGCCGCTCCACTCCTTTGCGGACTGTGTTGTTGGACGTTGCCGGACTTCTCTCTTGCAGCCGGTGCGGCGCGGCGCTGCGGTAAGGCGCAGCCTTGCAGAGATCCTTAGCCTTGCCGTGGCTTGCTGCAGGCCCATCGTCTGCCGTGCCGTGCCTCGCCCCCGCCACGCCTGCCTAGCCACGCCCCGTATCGGCCGACGTGACAACGTGTACCACACCGTACACCGAACGATTTGCATGACGACGTCTCGTCGGGCTCCGAATTACCTCGGCGAGACTCCGCCAAGAACAGCAACAGGATGCCAGGATGCGACCGGACTGCTCGCCTCCGCCGCCCGCCCGCCTTCATCGGAGCGTGAAATGGGCGCTGGCCTGTCTGTCCCGTCCGCCGTTTCGCGCTGGTCTGTGATGCAAGCTGATATCGGGGAGTGCGGGCCCGGGGCCGCTCGCGGTGCCCGTGGCGGCCGGGCCCGGCCGGGCCGGCTCAAGTTCAAGTTCAGCGCGCCCGTGGCCGCGAGGGCAGTGGCGCTGCCGCGGCTGCCGCGCTGCCTCCGCGTCGTGCTCGGGCGCCTCCTCCTCCTCCTTGTCTCGGGGTCCGGGGCCGCGCCGGCAGCCCGCGGCACAACGCTCGCCGAGTTCACGGCGAACGGGTACAGGGGCACGGCCCGGGCCGCCGCGGCCCGCGGGACGGCGGGACGCCCTGCTATTTCGAAATTGAGCGTGGGCATAGTGCCGAGTGGGTCGCTGTGCGTAGCTGTGCGCGGCCGGTGCGCGCTGTGACGAGCAGGGTGGCACCGGACGGATGGACGGGCGGACGCACGGACTGGCGGCGCTCTAGAGCCTGTTTCTTTTGCGTCTTTTGGAGCAGCGCGGGCCGTGGTGGTGGCCGCGAGTAGGGCCGCGACCGTACCCGCCCCGCCCCGCCCCGCGCCGTGCTCCGCTTTCACACAGCAATAACAGGCAGCGCCAAGTCTGCGCGTGTGCGTGCCGACCAGCGCCCGGCCCGGCCCGGCGGGCGCGGCCCGGTGCCGCGGCGTCCGGTTCACATTTGAAAGTGCGGCCTATGCGAAAATATTTTGCATTTCGCGCGCCGCTCTACCAGTCTGTCCCGTTTCGCGTTTTAGCGGGTCCCACCGCGCCGCCCCACACCGGCACCGGTCCTCCTGAAAACGCCGCCAACCTCCGGCTAGCTGGGCACAAAGCAGGTTTCACTTCAAGCGTCCAAAGAAAGAGAGAAAGAGAATAAAGACAGCGAAGGATTCTCGCAGGCGATTGAAGCCTGTTTTTGGGTGGGGAGCTGAGCTGACGGTCGAATGAGACGAAGGGTTGTCCGGGTTGTCCCCCGGGCGGCCGGCCGGCGACCTGTTGCTGCTGTTGCGCTGCGCTGGCTGCGCTGGGCTGCGCGTTGCGGCGGGTCAGGCGCTCCGGAGCTGAGCTGGAGCGGCTCTGTGTGGTCCGACTCCAAGGCGGCCTAATTGCGGTGATTCCGGGCGGATAGGCCGGCCCGATAAGCATCAGTCCCGGCGGGCGCCGCAGCCGCACCTCGACGCGCAAGTGCAGGGGTGAGAAAAGGGTGCTCGTAACCGGGGCCCGGCGTCCACGCCCACCCCTTTCCTCGGGTGTGCAGCACGTAGTAGGCGGGCACCTCACCAGGTAGTGCGCATACACTGGATATACTGCCGCCGGGATTCCCACCGTCAACAGACGGTGAGGCGAGTGAGCGCGCGCCGCGGGGTCATCTGCATTCGGGACCCGAGTCCCCCGACCCGCGAGCTGCTCATGGCGGGGACAAAGTACGCCCCTCTCGCGGCTGCAGCTCGTGGCAGCCCAGCCGCGCAGCGCTGTATC